TTAAATCCATATGAGGCATGACCAAGTCTTCTATGCCATAACCAACTATTTTCATTATTAACATATAAACATTTAACATCACTAGCATAGAGATCATTAAGATAAAAAACATAAACATTATCATGGCGATTACCAACGAATAAAACTTTATGATCATTTGTGCTTTCAATTGAGCAATGTGATTTATCAATAACTCGATTACCTTTATCACATAATGACTAATACTAAGTGGGTTATGCTTAAGTCCATCAACAAGTAAAACATTTTCAATAGAGGGTTAGGAGAAATACCGATGCTACCAATACCGATGATTTTTCCTTTCTTGTTGTCTCCAAAGTAACAAATCCTCCATCTTTCGATGATAGTTTAGAAATAATGATTTATCTCCGATCATGTGTCTGGAACATCCACTATCAAGGTACCACTTCCCTTCTTTAGCTTTGGACTTAAAACAAACCTACAATTGGTTTTTGGTACCCATAGTTTTCGGGTCTTTCTTGATTAGTTTCGTTAGATCCTTTAACAATCCAATTTTTTTAATTCCTATGTTTATATTATTTTTGAATGGACAAGAAGATATGTAATGACCTTTCTTTCTACAATAATGACAAGTAATATGAGGGTGAGTCATGAGAGGTGCCTTTTCAAAAATTGTATTGAGATTCTTTTGTTTTTTAATAGGGTCATATCCAATGCCCGCCTTATCGAAAACGCATCTTTGATTTCCAAGAAGCATGTTAAGATTATCTCTACCTTTTACAAAATTTTCAAGTGTTTTTGTTAAATCATCAACATTGTTTTGTAAAGCAGTTTTCTCATTAGAAAAGGTATCAAAATCATTTTTCAAAACAATTTTTTCTTTCTTTAATTCTTCTACATTAATAGATAAGAATGCAAGAGATTTCTTCAACACATTATTTTTGGCACAAACTTTTCTAAATTCATTTGATAAGTTCATGGAATGCACTTCACAGTTCTTCATAAAGAGTAGTTACCTCATTTTGAGTAGAGTCTTTATCTTCAAGAGCCATGAGACATAAGTTGGCTACTTCATTTTCATTCATCACTTGAGCTTTCATCTTCATTTTCTCCCCAAGCTGCTACCATGGCCTTTTTGTTTCTTTTGTAGTCTTTGCCATGATTCTTCAATTTTGGACAATCCATCTTCATATGTCTAGGATTTTTGCACTCATAGCAAATTATAGGCTTTTTTTGTTATCTTTGTTTACTCTTTCTTGAAAGGTCTTCTTTCTCCATAATTGTTTTTCTTGAAGTGTTTTTGAGATTTCTACATAAACATGGCATAGCTTTCATCCTCACTGGAGTTTTCATGTTCTCTTTCATTTGATGAGGCTTTGAATGCAATTCCACTTTTCTTTTTGTTTTCAATATTCTCATGTTCTTTCATTGGTGATCTCATGAGTCATAAGGGAACCCATAAGCTCATCCAATCCAAGTGTAGAGAGATTTTTGACTTCTATAATGGCCGTGATCTTTACTTCCCAATTCTTTAGTAAACACCTAAGATTTTTCTTACCAACTCACTGTTAGTAAAAGTTTTGTTAAGAGATTTCAAAGAGTTTACAGTTTCAATAAATCTAGTAAACATACTTGAAATAGTTCATCAGAGTTCATTTTAAACAATTCATAACTATGAACAAGCATATCCATACGAGATTCTTTCACTTCGTTTGTACCTTCATACGTTACCTCAAGTTTGTCCCAAATTTCTTTTGCCGAATCATAACTTAAAATTCTATTATACTCCTTGAGAGTCTAATCCACAAAACAAGGGTGAGTTTGGCTTTAGCATTAGCTTGCAATAATTTATAATCTTTCTCATCACATTAATCTTCAGTTTAGGTACACTAATATTGTCTACTAATTTGGTAAGAATTTTTAGACCTTTGGTGACAATAAACATGGCATAATCAGTGGCTTGTAGGTATAGGGTCATCTTATCTTTCCAATGACTATAGTTATTTCCGTCAAACAATGGTGGCCTTTTTATGGCTTGTCCTTCAGCTAAGGTTGCCATGGATCGAAACTCCTAGATGGTTAAATCTAAAACAAGAGTCTAGGCTTTGATACCAATTGTTACCCAAAAGACAACCTAAGAGAGGGGGTGAATTAGGTTTTATTAATTAAAATTAATAATACCCTAATAAAAATTATGACTACACAATAGATAAATATAGTTAATGAAATAAAAATAATTAAGACAGTGTCTTAACAACTATGTTAGTTAATGATTTTAGCACAGTAAAAAAGTGAAATATAACTAAGGCAATTTAAAATAAAATAAAGAGATAAGGAGAGAGAGGGCAAACAAATTTATAGTGGTTCGGCTTCAACTTGCCTACTCTACTCCTCAAGCTTCCCTTGTGATTTTTCACTATCTTCTAACTTCACAGGGATGCTAGCAACCTCTTTACAGATGGAGCATCCTTCACGGATTTTACACAGACTTCACAAGTCCAACCCTTGCAAATCTTAGGGGCTTCACAATCATTCTTAAGATTTCAAAAACACAGTGTTTGCAACACTTTTACAAGATGAAATGGTATTTTTACTTTCAAAGAAAGCTTACAATAAATATCTCTCAAAGATAGATATATAAAATGAAGTTTTGATTTTTCTGTAAATTTCACACAGGAAAGATGGCTTAAAACTATAAGGCTCAGTGTATAATTCCTGAGAATAGGTGTGAGTGATTATAGATCAAAGAATATTTTTAGATTTTTGTTTTCTTGTTTACATTAGAGGCTTTCGTATATATAATGAAAATTATAGCCGTTTATAGTCGTTGTATTCATTTGAAATTTTATAGCCGTTGTAGTCATTGAATTTATTGCCGTTTATAGCCATTGTACTTCCATCATTACCAATTTGAATATCTTCCACTCCATCATTACAAATTTGAATATCTTCTATTGAACCTTTTGAACCTTTTGAACCTTTATAGCCGTTGTACTTCCATCATTACTAATTTGAATATCTTCCACTTGAACCTTTTGAACCTTTTGGCCTGCTGCTGTTTAGGCTGTTTGAACCTTTGTTTTGGCTTTTGAACTCTTGATTTAATCAAATATTAAATACATTCTAGCAACATTTAGGATAAAGGTTTAGGTGAGAAATAATGGGACAAAATAAATTTGATTCTATTTTTCTCTTTCAAATAAATCATAAATTTTGATTAAAATATAATTAAATAAATCATCAAAATAAATTTTGGATCATATTTTTCTCTTTCAAATAAATTAAAACATAATTAAATAAATTATCAAAATAAATAAGTCTAACACAATGGGAGTCATGTGCTTGTTTCGAAGTGTTCACAACTTATGTTGGTTCCTCTCAAGGTGTTTGTGATGTTTCCCGAGCCTTTTCGTGCCTATTTCAAGCTTTCCCCCCCTTCCTAAGACTTATTTTCATGCCTAAGTGTATGAATAGTGCAAATTTCAAAATTGTTTTCAAATCAGGAGCCATGTGCTTGTTCCATAAGTTTGCATAACTTATGTTGCTTCGTCTCAAGGTGTTTGTGACGTTTCCTTGGCCTTTACATGCATATTTCATTATTTTCTCTGGACCTTTCGTGCCTAAATGTCAAAGTAGTTTTTTATTCTATCCTAGTTGAAGAAGAAATTTTCTACTAAATTAACATAGAAACATAATAAACTAACCAAGAATCTTGTCCATCAGAATCTAAACTTTCCCCACTCCCAAAATTTCCCGTGATACCTTTTTGTCTCAAACACTCTATGATACTTTGTATCTTCTTGCTTTGTTTCTTCTCTGACTTTTGAAGCCTGGCAATTTGTTCATTTTGCTGTGCTATTTGCATCTCAAGGCGTTGAACATAGTCACTATTTTCAGCAGGTGCAACAGTAGTCTTCATAGAAGAAGAAGGCCTCATGCCTAGTCCTTTCACATAACCTGACCTTGGCTTAAGCACCTTGACCGGAAATGCCTCTGGGGTCAAGGGGATCGCACCAGTCTGTGAGAGTTGTTTTGCTTACGTCTGTATCATGTTGTCCTATTAATTTGAAATAAATCAAACAATTATTAGTTATTCTACCTTTACAAAGCAAATAAATAATTTTATCAAAATTAATATGCATTACCTTGTACATACATAATTACCTTGGCTCTCCGACGAAATCCATTCATGCATGTTCGAATTACAGTGGATGGACTTGTAAAATTCTGCCAAATCGGGCACTTTTCCATTTGTAATTATCTGATTCATTTGTTTTTGAATGTTATTTCATATATTTAAATAACAAAGCGTACTAATCCAATAAAATAAATTAGTAAAACGCACCGAGCTAAACACCCTGACCGGGATTGATTTTGATCCACATCGATGTTTTGTTTTCATCTGCATCTTATTATTCACATTAGTTAGTGATTGTTCCTACACAATTGAAACACCAACGAAAACAAGAAAACTTAACACTAGTAAGAAGAAACTTAATTTTGACAATTAACATAAAACATAAAACATTTTGCCATGAATTCTTTAGTATTCCACTTCTTGTCAGTTAGAGATGTCCACTGATTAAGAGTAACACTTGCAGGTGGGTGGCTTCTCACGTACTCCTCTCCTCTTGCATCCTTAAGTTGCTTGTATTGCTTGTGCAACTTATAGGTGAAGCCGCTCAATCGCCAACCAAACTGTGTGTCTATAGTCTTTGCTACATCACTCTGATTGCCTTGTAGATCAAACTGATCCTGCAAAATCAAATCATTTTTTTTTTCATAAGATAAATAACCTAAATTTTGTTCACATACACAATTATACATAGCAGCAACCAACTATGAAACACAACAGCTAGGTTATAGGAGTAACTCCACAATTCCTGTCCACATTACACGAATGAAGCACAACACACACATACACTAACTAAGAGCAACCACCAGTCCACATAACACAACAAAACGACAGCAGCAAACTACAAAGCTGCTGCAAAAAGGAATCACAGTAGCAAAGCTGCTATAGAGGTGAAAGAACACAGCAATCAGCATGGGCTGTAGTCAGCAGAGAAATAAAACAGCCAGCATAACAGCAGAACAACAACTAAAGCCATAATTAGCATAACAACAGGGCAACATCAGCAAATCCATCATAATAGATTCTAGATCCCTAGTGTTGGCAGATCTACATATGAACTGCATGGAATGAGAGCTCAAACTGCTACAGCTCCAAATGAAACATAGCTAGTAGAACAGCCAAAACATCAACAGCATTATCCATCACAGTAAAATTCAAAACAATAAAATCAGTTGCAAAAAACCAGAAGTAGATGTTCACAGGCCTAAAAAGAATTCTGTTCAACCACCACATATTAGACCTATGAGGAGGTTGAACAGATTCAATATACTGTTTGTTCAGGTTCTAGCAAACCCCAATGACAAATTTACATGTTATAAAACAAAGTTGGGTAAAAACTACCCACAAAATTTAGTCCTCATTCACTCAACCCCCAATATGCAACACAAAACACTCCAAACAATTTATGAGAGCTAGTCAAAAACTCAACCCTCAACAAAAAAACTCCCTTACAATTAGGACCAGCTTGACAACTTGCAGAAGATGAGTTAGATAAACTGTGTGGCTCACCATCACTCAACCCACAGAACTGAGCCTAGTTATAGGGACTCACCATCTCAACCCTTTTCCCTACATGAGACCAACTTGACAAACTGCAAAACAAGATAGTGAGCAAGATACATGAATATAAAGGTCTTACATCTCTCAACACTCATATATGGGCCCACATTCCCTCAGAAATAGAATGCTGTCAACTCTCAAGAATCTCAATCAATACTCTTAATTGAAGTGGCTCACAATCACTCAACTTATAACATCCCTACGTAAACAGCAGCATAACACTGCAGACAAGGGTAAAATGCGGCAAATGCTAGATACAGTAGACAACACAAGTAAACGTCAATTTATTCATAGTAGTGGCCAAGGAATGGCCAGAAAATTGCCCAAATAACCAGTCCACACAGTTGCCCCAATTCACAGCAGGCCAATGCATGTTACATTTAGTTAACAGAGGACCCAATACACTAGAAGAATAAGGACAACTGAAAAACAAATGGTCATGATCCTTATTCTGGTGGTTACATAAAACACATTGAGCAGAACTCATAATCCCATACACAACCAACCTGTCAAGAGTATTCAATCTACCAAGGATAGCCATCCAAACCACAATATGAACTCTAAGGATATGAAACTTAAACCAAACGAGCCTATGCCAAGTCACTCTTGGCTTATGAACTCTAAACAGGTCCCAAGCATAATGGATAGAGAAGAGGCCATTAGATGCGAAATAATAAAGAAATCAAAAGGAATATTGATTTCAATTTGGTCTGTCAAATTCAGCATGCCAATGACCATGTCATATCACTCATCAAAGGTTTATACAAATCAAGAAAATGTCAAATGGGAAACAAACTACCTCTTCCATACTCAACCTCGTGAGAGGAAATATGTAACATAGCACACAGGTGTTCAAAGAAAAAATGGAAGCATTGATTGTTAAACTACAATCATAACTTCTAAAATTTAAGAATGAGATAAGGCAAATTTAACAAGCAGATAAATCATGTGCCCAAAACTTGTATCTAAGTTCACAACATCCATGATACTTACTTACTTTCGTGCCTGTAACATGGATATAATACTAATAAATAAATAAATAAATATAACAACTTTGTAAACTTGCCAATGCTATTAGATACCGTCACCTCGTGCTTAGGTTGCACATTATGAGGTGGTAAGGGTTAGGTACCAACCTTCTAACATGGGAGATCCATCCCTTCCTCTGGGGTAGGAGTTAATGGCCTTGAATGAGACTGTAAACGGAGTCCCGATGGCATCTCTTGTTATTGAAATAATATAATCAAATAGTAAAAAAGATATTTAACACAGTTAAAATATATTTTAAAAAATATATGTTGTTTAAGATATATGAAGAAGATATGTAAATAGTAAAAGGCATGCTCACACACAAATATAAAATAATGTATATAATACCTCGCGGTCAAAGGAACCCAATGACTCATCATCATTGTCATCCTCACTCTCTGATGGTTTATACTCATCATCATCATCTACCTCAACCCTAATTCCCTTTTCCTTTGCATTTGCACATTTGGATTGAACCACACTCACCAACAAATTTGTAATATTCTTCACTCCAAGATTGTTCACTATCTCATATTTCTCCTTGATTCGCTTATTTCTTTGTTTCTCATATTCTGTTAGCTTCTTATTTCTCAAATCACCTGGTTTCAGCCATTGTTTTTTGCCTTTGACCATTTTCTACAACTATATAACATAATTCAACTTTAATTGGAAAATATAGACAATATAACTATGCACCATTAAAAAAAATAAATAAAAAAGTAACATAAACATATAAAGTAAAAATTACATTAATTAATAACATCTATTCAGAAACAAAGTATAAAATAAAAATTACATATCATAATCCATATTAGGATCCATATTAACATCAGGAATGTCATGTTCTTCATCTCCTTTGTCATCTCCATTCTTTTCCATTATCTCATCTAATGACCCTACTGCCGAAGTAACATTGAATTCAACATCATCCTTACAATATCGAACAATTGGGTCAATGTCAATTAGAACAACATCAATAATGTTTCTTGTTAGAACACATTATTATTTTCTGAAGGATACAATAATTCTCCATCATTAGCTTCTAGAACATCAAAGGCACCCCTATGTTGCATCCTTTGTACGACATTCCAAGGTTCACCCAATTTGGTGTCATTCAGATAGAAGACTTGCTTAGCTTGACTAGGTAGAATAAACAAGTCAGATTGGTACCATCGAATTTTCACGTCAATGCTTGTGCAATATGTATCAAATCGTATTATTCTGTTTCTACTAGTATTACCGTGTTATACCATTCACACTGGAACAAAACAACCTTTTTTTTTATCACATATGTATTCAGATTCCAAAACCTTGCACAAGTGACCGTAGAATTCATGCAATTTTCCTTCATGATCCCCTTGTGTAAGCACGCCACTATTTTGACTCGCACGACGGTTGTCTAGATCTCGAGTATGGAATCGTCTGCTATTGATTATGCAACCTGAGTACTCTTTCACTAGCAAATTAGGACCATTTGCTAATGACCACAATTCATTGGTTACCTATGATGACTCTTAAACTCTCAATCTATTTATCTACAATTACATGTAACAAACAATAAGTAAATAATTTATAAATGACGAAATTTTATAAAACTTTCATTTTGTTTAAGTTGTAAATGTCGAAATTATAAATGTTTTACTCTCTGTTTGAACAACTTGGGAAATTCTTGTCGTTGTATATGGGTTATGTCATGTCTAGCTCGCGTTTGTAATAGATTTTTGTGTTCCCTACTAAAAAAAAATGTGATTACTATGTACCACTAATAAAAAAGCTAAGCATAAACATAATTCAATGAAACACATACTCCAAATACTTCTCTATCTTTGGGCTATTGTACAACACAAACCAATAAGCAATATCATGAATTTCTTGAGACATTTCAACATTCGTGTGATTAGACCAATTGGACGTGCAGTTTCTATGAATACTGTCAACCCTTGTTGACGTTCACCGCGATCTTCATTCCGTTCTGCTCGATTGTGCACGGTTTCAATCCCAACAACATACATTGAACAAAAAGTAATGCACTCTTTGACAATGTAAGCCTCGGCAATTGAACCTTCTAGTTGAGCTCGGTTGGTCACAAACTTTTTTAATACTCCAAGAAACCTTCATGAGAGAACAAATTAGGAGTATAGTTATACATACAACACAATTACGCACATCTCATTTACAAGTATAAGTGTAAAAAATATCTTTCAATTGGGTATATCCATCGATATTGCACGGGTCCTCCAAGAATAGCCTCACGAGGCAAATGAACAGCCAAGTGCATCATCACATCGAAGAAGGGTGTAGGAAGGATCTTTTCAAGCTTGTATAAAATGTGTATTATACGTTCCTCTAATTTCTCCAGTTTACTCTGCCTTAGTGTCCTAGAGCATAGGTCTTGGAAGAAATTGCCTAACTCAAAAAGTGTTGTACTAATTTCTTTATCCATGTAACCACGCATTCCAATGGGAAGAATTCTTTGTATAAGTACATGGCAGTTGCGGCTTTTTAGGCCTGTTAATCTACCATTTCTTGCATTCACTGATTTGGATATGTTTGTCGCATACCCATTTGGATAATTGACAGTTTTTAAAAATTCAAAGAAACCCTCCCTCTCTGCAAGTGTCAATGAAAAGCTTGCTCGAGGCTTGACATATGACCTATCGGGTTATTGTGTCAGCCATAGATCTTTCCTTATACCCATATCTTTCAATTCTAACCACGCATTCTCTATGTCCTTGTTCTTTCCATTAATGCTGAAAAATCTAGAAATCCCTTAGATGTTGATTTGTGATTATGTATCAATTTTAAGCAGAATATAACAATCCCAATCAAACAATCAAGACAAAAAAACACAACGATTTTACGTGGAAAAAACCACAATTGGACACCTCCAACTGTGATAAAAAAACCACAGGCAACAGCCACAAAAACAATCCACTAAGAAGATTTAAAGGAATTACACAGGTATACTCTCAATTACCTAGCGAATCCACGCCTAATTGAACCAACCTCTATGTGCCTCTTCCAACCCGTCTTCACCTCAGAATTGTCTTTACGATGAGCCACTCCGGAATCCACCAAAGCTTCAGGCTCGAATTCTTCAGAATCCACCGAAGAACAACTCTCTCTTTTGTAGAACAAAACACAACCTTTGATGTACTCTCTTTAGAACATGAGTTGAAGACTCAATCAAAACATCAAAGAAAACTCACAAAATATCCCCAGATATAAACCCTAAAACACAAAAAGAAGATCTGGAGTAGTAATCCTAAAATCTGACCCAACACGCGAATTTATAGAATCTGTCCCGCGATCTCCGCTCGAGCGCCCAACAGCCCGCTCGAGCGGGCTTCAGCAAAATATGCGCGAGATATCACAGAGGTCCGCTTGAGCGCCAGAAATCCCGCTCGAGCGCGAAATCACACAGCTCAGTACTTTTGCAGGCGACCAAAATTGCTGGAACCAGGAATTCTCCGCTCGAGCACGGGTATGTCCGCTCGAGCGGACAGGCAATTTTGAATGCATTTTTGCATTTTGCTTTGGGGGCACTGCCCCTCGACCCCGCCGTGGCGCTGCCCCAGACCCGCCAAGGGGCGCTGCCCCCTAGACCCCCATCGGACAAACTTGAAAGCTAACACAAAGGAGTACATAATCAGCGAAGTGGCAATCTTGAAAGCTTTATCATCACAAACTTCTCTGAAATGCTTGATTCGGGTTGGATTCGCATCTAACAACTCAAAGCCTCACTAAAATAAAAATGCGAATAAAATTACAACTCAAAGGAGTTTTGTCAAACGGGAATGCCAAGAAATAAAACCTAACAAATGCCTAACATAGTTCCGAAAACATTTTCACTAAAATTTTTCTCCACATACATGACATCAATGTTGTGTCGAAGTTTTCGCTTCCTCCAATAGGGTAGCTCATACAAGATGCTTACCTTTGTCCAATTAGGTGCTTGATGGGGCCTTTTCCTATTACTTGGATGCTTTCCATATATGACACCTGTCGCGGTGTCTAACTGCTCTTGTATCTTTTCCACCGACAACTCCAAAGATCTCTTCCATTTCTCAATCTTACTATTGTAAGCCCTACTCTTTCATTTTTCAGGGTGGTCCTTAGGCAAGTAACATCAACAGTTAGTGTACCTAGTCGGTCTTCTCAAATATTCAAAATATGGTTCATCATTGCAAGTGTATCAAGAATAATGACCCTTTGTTCTCCTCCCAGATATGTCACCAAATGCAAGCCAATCATGTATTGTCCACAAAAAAGTTGCATGCATTCGAAAAGTCTCATTGGTGGAGGCATCGTAAGTTAGTGCACCATTTGTCCACAACTCATCCACCAATGGTCGCATGTAGGCGTCAATATCAATCCCTAGTTGCGATTCTCCAAGAATAAGTAATGACATCAAACAAAATGGATCCTTCATAACCAACCAAGGTGGCAAGTTATATGGAATGAGTATGATGGGCCACAAACTGTGGTGAACAAAAACACACTATGTGATTGATTGAATAGGTTTAAATATTAGGTCCTATTTGAAGTGTAATAGATCAATTTAAATAGAAAATCTCACTATTTAAATCAATTACAAAGTATGTTTTGTTCACCACCAAAACACTAGATTCCTACACAATTCCATCTCACCCTCTCACCATTCACTACCTCCAAACAATTTAAAGTTGAACAGAAACCAATATATAAGAAAGCATTAAGTTGTTGAGAAAACAAATGAAAGGAAAAAAAAAAAATTCAAAATTCATTACATACTTGAACTTTCTTATTTTTATTTTTAGCAAATAAACAAAACCCAATTCAAATGATTTACATATATATACACATACAATACATATGTTCCCGGCAAAGAATCCAAAACCCAATTCAATTAATTTTCAAATTTTCTTAACAAATAAATATATATAAATTCACGGAATTTCTGGTTTTTATCCTAGTAACAAATAGAAAACCCAATTCAATTGACTTCTGTATCTCATATAAACAAACAATATACACATTGAAACTTATCTTTTTGATTGACGGCAAAGAATACAAAACATGACTCCCTCATTGGAACTCCTTTATTTTAGTTCCACTTCTTTGTAGGTTGAAGAAGTTTTGTATTTAGACTTTCATAATATATTAAGAGGGTGTTATCAAGGTTTCTAGGTGCCTTGTGTTACAGTTAGTAGTTGTTCTCCTTTCTTGCTAAAAAATGAAATATGTTTATAAAATAAATTATTTATCAAAGAACTAGTTTAAACTCATGGCCCCATGCCACCTTCTTTTCATTGTTCATTTATTTATTTTGTTCGGCTCGCGGTTTTTTTTTTTTTTGGGAGAGGGTGAAATTATTGACATCACCATGCACTGAACTATATTTGACAACACTAAGGGAAATGATAATTGAAACTAAAAGAACATAAATTAATCATATTTATAACTATATAGTAATTGAAAAACATTTATTATTAAGAAAATTAAAATAAATTCAGTAATATATGCAACCTATATGGAAAGTCAATAATTCATGCTTGCAAATCTCATCGAATGTTATGAGAAGAAGTTTTAGCAGGGAACAATGGCTGTGGACTTATAATAGTTGAGAAAGTAAAGGCATATGAATTTAAAAT